GCCGATCACCGATCATGCACTTTTTCACGGAAATCGGCCAGATTATGATCGGTGACCGATCGATCGGCACACCTCTAATGTGCACCCACCCCCACAGACTCATACAAATATACATCCAGAATGCTTTGCCACAAAGACCTTTTTTCTTGTGTCTAACAATTTTGAGAAAAATAAAAGCTACTGAGAAATGGGGAAAAAATAGAATAAAAAGACAAAACATTTTTAAAGTTTTTCTTTTATGCACAAGGACACCTGCAACTTATAACAAAGTGCACCCTACATATGTAATTTTTTTTTCTTTTCAAAATTTGTGAATGCAGCTTCTATTAAGATGCATTCAATTGCCTGGAAGTTATGGTAATCCTACTGTAGATTGTTCTTTTTTTTATCTGTGATGTAATTTTTTGAATTATTTAATTTTTTTCTGTACTAGTTTAGTTCTTGTTCTGCAAGTTATTTATAGATCTATTTGACTATATCCATAAACATAAACCACAACATGCTTGAGTAAAACATTCTTTGGCTCCTTTCATGTTTTTGTTTTTCACTAATTAATACCATAAACCAAATTTGGCCACATTGTTTTATGACTAATTCAAATTGGAATAAGTAGTTAATGTTATTTTTTGTATGGTTTTGATTGTGTTGATTTAATTTGGTTCTATATTTCTGAATGTGAATTGGAACCGTCTTGTGAAGTGCCTGAATTAAATGTGATGAAGGTTAATGTCGAATGCTGGACAGAAAACATTCAAATCATTCTTTTAAAATAAAGATCTGAAGTTAATGGATCATTGCTTTTTATTAATTGAACACATTTTGAAAGTGTGTAAATTGGTTGATTCACTTTGTTTTTCACTGTTTTTGTCTTTTTTTTTCCTTTTTTTTAAATCTACCGATAGCATAAAAAAAGCATTAGGAGAAGATATAAGAAATGCTTGAAATGTCTGTCATTTGTATGACTTGGACAAAACTCAAGAATGTAATTTTGGGAAAAACCTTCCAGCATTCTTGCCTTATTGTGCCTGAACGTTGGAGTGAGCAACAATGGCAGAATTTATAACCACAAATTACTTTCCTGTGATTTACAAAAAAATGGAACAAGGTTGTTCTACTGTCTTTGGAAACTAAATCAAAAAAAAAAATCTTAGCTCATGACTGTATTTGTGACAGAAACAGTACTTTATTAGAAACTGAACAAATGCTTCTGATTAATGATACATTGTTAATAAAATAAATCACTAAGCACACATAGCTGTTATATTCTCCATGGTAAACTAACCCTCTATCGTGTTTAATGGTCCATGTCATAATGTACACCATTTTTATTACTTCAAATAGAGCTAGGAAAGTCATGTGATGTTGTGTACACAGACTCTATATGATTTCTGACAATATTCGAAACAATTATCAGAAAAGGTTGCAAAAACAATGCTGTACTGCAGCAATATTGAGATGCTTGAAACTATATTGGCGTTCCTAAATCAGTCTAAGCTGTCAAACCCCATGTAAATACAAATTTATTTATAACTTTTCAATGAGCAATCTGTTGCACTAAAAGGTAATCCAAGGAGATTTCTTTATATTTCTCAAGATTAGTAATAATTTAAGATAACCATGTTTATTTATAACTTTTACTGCTGATTATAAGGAGTCAGTGGTATGACGAATGCTATTATTTAGCCAACATCTATTTATACTATGGAAATAATAAGCTAACAAAACACAAAAACTAACTAATATAAAGACTAAAAAAGAAATAAAAGCAAGTAAATGCTAAACTAGGAATTTAATTTTGAAAATAACACAAATCAAACTGGTTAAGAACGAGTGCTGAACAACATATTGAAGCACAACTATATTTATATATCAGTGTGTTTGCAATATTACAGTCATATAAAGGTCTATTTGGAGGCAAGACTTGGTAGGAAATCATATTCATTTCAAGATCTGAACGCTCATGAAGAGAGGTGGTGCTATTTTGTAATTGTAAAGATAGAAAATTTAAAGTTAATAGTAATGTTCCTGTTGGTGTCCTATAAATGTGTTGCATTCATGTTGTAAGTTTTCACTTGACGGTTGTTTTTTGGGTGTGTGTTCATTTCTGCCAGGCTCCAAGGATAGAGGCTCAGACAATTTTGGGCTCCCTTGTGTGTTTCCCCAACCTGTACCTCCAGATTCCTGTTCTGCACTCTGTGCCTGGCTCTAATGACATCAGTGTAGGCAATGAGGATATCAAGGTGAGTTTGGTGAAAACAGTGACAACATTTCAAAACAAAAGCCCATCAGTGTTGGTTTCAGTAATTGATCTAGCCATATCTTGGATTTTAACAATCATGAAGCTAGACAGATTCTTGAAAATGCAATTTTATGAAGTTGGACATTAAAAAAAAACATACTGCATTTATATGTGCAATACATGCAAACTGTTAGCTCACATTATTTCTTTTTACTGTGCTTCAAAATAGACTTTATCACATTTTAAAGGGGTTTAACATTTGCTTCTGTTTTTTGGGGGGTGGGGGTACTTGACGTCGACTTACCCTTTCATTACAGTTTGGGGGAAGAATATATGTGTTTTTTTGTTTGGTTTTTATGAATTTTCTGAAGTTGAACTTACTAAGCATACCAAAATTGACAGCTGTAAAGTATTTTGTAACAAGGTGATTCATGTCTTAGCAAGAGATGCAGTTTGTCCTTAAAAATTCTGGACTTGGATAAATAGAGGACAAAGTAGTAATTGGCAGCCCCCACAAAAATGTTTACAGCAGATGCTCTTCATTTTTAAGGAAGTTTATATCCAACTAACAAATTATGTTTTTCAGCAGGATGATGGTAACAAATAGAGGGATCCAGTTGCAAACTAATGTTAGTGGTAGAGCTGTTTGTCAACTGGTTCTGTCATCATCAACAAGACAGCAGCTTTGATGCTGCATCTATTCATCACTAAAAGGTCTCTCTTGGAAAATGTTAAACATTCCTCCTTTTTTGTAGAGTTTATAAAGGTATGCAGTTTATCTTCACAAATGACTGCATTTGTATAGGGATTCCTGCTAATGCCTTTCCTAATATCACCATGTTAGCTTGCAAATGTTGTACAGATGCCTCATTCTTAGACTTTGGGACCAATTCCCAACCTTTGTAAAGTTCTAAGCTGCTGATTTTAAGTCAATAGGGCTACAAGTTTTGCAGTGTAACAACCCACTGTGAAAGCATAGCCTTGTCCCCAGACATTTTTTGAAAAATGCAACCTGTGGGCAGCGCCAAGGGACACTGAGGGGCGAGTGTGGGGAATGGGCAGAGGGGGGTTTACTCAGGAGGAGGGAAAACACTGTTGCCAACTTAGGGCCTTTGTCTCTATAGTTGGTGACTTTTCAGACACATCCAGCGACTTCTTTTCAAAAAAGCTACTAGTTACATTTTTCTGGTATTAAAGACTTTGGCGACATAGAAAACCCCAATCGCAGTAACTGTCCTGACTGAGTGAGGAGCGAGTGCTGCCCTGAACCCTTCCCGTATCCTAAGTACTGCAGTGAATCTCTCACAGTCATCCTTCAGCGAACCGACTGCTGTCAGAGCAGAGATGAGACCCATTCCACTCAGTGTCCACAATGCAAATGAAACAAACGCGCACAAAGCTGAAGAACGCTACAGATCAATGTTCACTATTCCACAAAAATTTCACATTTTGCACAGAAGCATAAAGTTTGCAATTCATGCAGGTTATCTCTTAAAAGGCTGATTTGTGGTTTAATGCTGTAGATTAATCAAGTAAAGTGCCTTTGAAATGATTATTTGAGAATTAATTGTGAAATTATTCTTTTTTGTTTTCTGCTCAGAATTATCTGGTTAAAATTCTTCTGGATGCAGCCACAAAAGAATATTTTGAAGGAGCAAGGTAATGATCATCTGTGCTGGTCTCAATATTTTACTCTAAAGAACTACTGGTAGTTTTTGTTTGTTAGTTTAATAAATAGTCATTATTTTCTACATATCTTTCTTGGTTCATCTCAATAATTCAGAATGTCATAGAAACATGTATATATTTTTCTCATTCAGTTTAAAGAGTAAAACATAACATCATAAAATATAGATTAAGATAGATTCATTACTCACAGAGTGACTTGAAGCATTTATTTCTACTAATAGTACTGCAACTAATGACAATCAAAATCATTTTTTCATTTTGTTTCTGTGTTTATACTGGAAAGAGAAATATTTTCTAACTGCAGAAATACTTTTATAGATTTGTAAAACAAAAAAAAAAATAATAATAATAATAACATTGCTTCTTCTTAATTTGCATGTGTCGTGTTCTGATTATGCCATTTAGGTGCATTGCTGTATGCAGCCTGGGCCTGTGGGTGTGTGAAGAGCTCACGCAAAACAACATTCACCACCAGGTTAAAGATGCCATCAATGTTCTGGGAGTAACACTAAAGGTTTGTAGCTTTAGAAATAAGTTATGTTCACAAATTGTGAAGCAGAAAGCTTCACTTTTTTAAATTACTTTCATCATTTGCAATTTAATGCATCATATTTCTACGGGGGGAAAAATAACAAAATCAAGATAATTATTGTGTCTTAAATAAATAGGAACATAATAGCTGTTGTTATTTTACAATCCCTATCGGGGCTCGGGCTTTAGCAAAAATGAGAGTTGATTGCGTTAAAGGACTGTGGAACAATTTGAACATAGTGAAAGACCGAGGAAAAAAGTGTTGGAATAAAACATGTCCATGATGTGATGTGACTCATAGGTATATTTTAGAAGAACCCTCTTTTCTCGCTGAGTGAAGAGATGCAGAGAACCAGAGGAGGCTGCCCCTTTTTCCCCCTCATGGAAAAGGATTTTGGGCGGTGGCGTAATTTCCAGGCTGCTCGCTCTCGGTAGATGTGGGCCAATTTAAGCAGCTACATCTCCCAGCTTCCTGCTCAAGCACCCCCTGCCTCCCCCACCCCACCCCTTCTCTAATGGAGCAGTAATCACTCCCCTGTACAACTTGACACACAGACTCAACCAGCCCCAAAATAGAGGGTATAGGCTGGGTGGGGGATCTAGGGGGAAGAGTGGCACTGAGAGTCTCTTTTCTAAAAGCAGGTGCTGAACTCTCAGGGCCCCTTTTTGTGTTTGGCCATTTCTGTACTCCCCACATTGTCTGCCCTTGTTACATGTTGAGAGGCATTCAGCTGGAAGAAATGGGAAATTCTATTTCTCCACAAAGAATTTCAAATCACTGAAGAAATCCACATTTGAAGGAAAATTGTCAACAGCTCAATTCTTTCCTCCGATGAGTCTGGAGAAAATGAGGCAGGGTGGTGAAGTGAAATGAAATTATGCTGATAATCTGCGCAGTAAGTGAAAAAACTAAATTTAAGGAGAATTACGGAGAATTTTGCCCCAGAAAGTGCGACTTTCGCCAAAACTTTAATTCACCATCTTCAATAAGCCTTGGCTTCCTGCTTCTGTAAGATTCAGGTTTTTGAGTGAGACCTGCTGTAGCAAGTAGCAGAAAATGAACTTCACAGCGATCATCACAGAGGGCTAACTTTTTGGGAAGTTTGAAAGACTTAAAAGCTTTAAAGTATACTGGTCTGTCAATAATCGTTTTGCATAGAAACGCGCGTCACAGATAAAAAGGGGAAAATTTCAGCACTCTCCAGTCTTCCTTTACATGGCAAAGTAGCTCACTGCGGTTTTTGTTCAGATTGTTGAGCTGATCGGAAGCACACACACAGGAAAAAGAAAACATTAATAACTTATCTACTGACTTTTAAAATGAACAATTGTTAGTATCTGTCCATGTTCCCTAGCCTTAAAGTGGTTTAGAAACCTCACTATTCATCCTCTGAGACATAGATGAGTAAAATGTTCTCTTGTCACGACTTTTGATGATTAAACTCCCAGGTAGTCTTTTTGTCTGTGATGAGGTTGTGTTTATCTCTCAGTCTAAGGATTTCTGTATTGATCTTCTGATAAAGTGTGGTCACATTTAGTCTGTCTGATGGTGCTTTGGATGCACCACACTCAGTTTCCTCCCGGCGCTTTCCTTCCTTGTAAATTATCAATCTGTTCGTGATCTGACACTGAGAAAGCGCCTTGCTTTACTTAAAGCAACCAGCTCACTTCTTTCACTTTACTGTTGTTCCAACAGCACATTTCCTACATGCAGTAATCACAGTTAGGCTGAAACATTGAGGTGAATTGATTTATAAAATTGTCCATTCATTTGGACCTGTATCGCAAATTAATGTTTAGTTTTTAGTGATTTAGTTGAATAACTATTTCTATGATAAAATGACAAAACATAGGATTTAAACCAACTTAATGCAAAAGTTTTGAACGTACCGTGAATTTTATCCAATCCAAATAGGGTCAAAACTATACAACTGAATCCAAGCAAAAACATACAGTCCTACTACTATTTGGTTAATATTTTGTACATTGTTTAAACTGTTTTTGTCACTGTCAACAAATTTTTGATTTGGTCTGCACAACATGTTGCATATTTACTGGTGTCATCACAAATATCTGCTTGTATGGCAATAAATATTTGCTAACCATATGAATATGTACTTTCAGCCCATCCATACTAACAATACATATCAAATGACACTTGTTATGTAGTAGAATGTGTTGTTTTTTTGGGATCATCAGAGATTACCTTTTCTTCATCCAGCAGTTGCACAGGTGTAGAATCAGGAAAAGGCCAGCTAATACCTCTGCAGACCCCACACATCCTGGACACAAACTGTTATACGTGTACTTTCAGGTCATGCTACTGAGCACTATTTGCAAATTTCAGCTACCACAGAGTCACTTTCTTCTTGATGAACACAATGAAGATCCTTCAGCCTGAGTAGTCAGCCGTCCAGTTTTGAAGCAAAATAAGCAATATTGCATGACGAGTAAAGCTGATTCTGATTCTCAAAAGGTGTCACCAATGCAACATTTTTACCTTTTACCTTGTTACTGAGATGGGCATAAACATCTTCACTTTTTCCTGCTTGCTGAATTAACTACTCATTATCTGAACTCTCTGTTACAGTTGGAAGACAATTTGTCTTTTTAAGTTCCTAATATCATCTCATCTTTCTTTAGTTTGGGAACAAAGTAGTGGCCCAAGTCGCCTGTGACATGTTTCAGCTGCTGATTTCTCACTGGGAACATCTCCAGAGACTGGATCCAACTCTTCCCAAGAAGATAATTGAGGTATCACACATACACATATACTGTAATGGATGGAAATTTCTATTGTTTTAAAAGGAAGTGGTGGATCAGTCATTTTTTTACTTTTGCATGTAAACACTCCAAATTCAACAATTTCACAGTTATTTTCCTGCACAAGTACGGCTCTGCGTATGAATAGGAGAGCATAACAATAGATGTGTCATCCAATTATTTTTCACCTTGTTTTGTCCCAACACAGATCTTTGTGGCTACAATAGCCTTTTTGTTGCCAAGCGCAGAGCACTCGACAGTGGAAGCAGACAAAAAGGTACATCTATAGATCTAAAGGCCCTTGATCTATCATGTCGGAATGGTGCATTTGCAGAGGAATGTTTCCACTGAAGTGATTTGTTATCCTTTTTTTCCTGTACCTTCATCTCTCTCTAAGGCTTTCCTGTCACATTTTTTTCTTTGTGGTAATGCAGTTACTATTGATGCTTGTATAGTTACATCTTAATATTTGTTTTGCTAATCAACTTAAAAAAATGCCACTGATGTAAAAATTTGAATTATTATGAAGAAACATGGAAAAGAATGAATTCTCAGCAAAGACAGGCTGCATTATAACTTAGACACTCGTGGAAAACTGTCTGCTTAGAATGCTGTTTCCAAATATAGTAAAGGGAAGTTTAGTGGTAGGAAAAATGTGATACAAAAAATCCTCTGGACTTGGTAAAGCGCTATACAAGCACATGCCATTTACAAAAAAGGTTCACAAGCAACAGGGATGCACAATGCTTTGTGAGGATTGTGAAGCAACATTACATAGACTTGTTTTTCAGCGAGACACCTGACTCCTACTGAGTCTTCACAAGTCACGAAAATAGTGGTGCACAGATAAGTCAGCCAGATGACGAATCATCCCAGGTTTTCTTAATTTTTGGAGTTCAGTGATTGGTCAATCTTATCTATCCCTGGAAAGGTCTAGAAATCAACCACTGTCCTAACTTGACATTTTTTTCCCCCCATCATTATTTTGATTTTGCTTCACTGTCTGAATGCATTTATTTAGTAATCAAAGAAGGACACATTATACTATCAGTTTGGCTTTTAGACAGCTTTAACTTCAGGTTGACCCATGGTTCTCAAAGACTCTGAAATGTAGTTCTGTGTTTTGGGATTTTTTACTATCAAAGGTTCCAAAGTACAAATTGTGGTGTAAATAATCTGCTTTTAGTCTAAATATTAGTTCCAAGTGTTGCATATTTTGAAATTAAATGAAGGTCATCTAAGTGGGTGTAGAATCAAAAACAGTGTTGGAAATTACTTGAGAGCCCCTCCAAATCAGAGACCAATTTTAGCAATTTGTTGTTTTCGCCATTTGTGGATACTACATGCAATAAGATCTTGCTATTCAAGTGGATTCACAGGCAATACTTGGTACTAAAATGCTCTGCATGATTAGGATGGAAAAATCTAGAAAAAAATATATGTAGAGAGTTTAACCTGTACCATAAAACCGACACCTCTGGATTGATTTGTTTTTCTTTGTTTGTCTAACGTTCTTGTTTTCAAAAGAGCTGAATTTATGCTTTCAATATAACAAACACACTACATTTATTACTTTGTCATTTTGTTTTGAAAAGAATTCCGAAAAAATAAAAATAAAATAAAACCTGATGTTCTAATATACTGAGATTCACTTGTAGATATACCTAAAATATTATGCATCTGTCACTTTAAGATGATGGTTTCACTGCTACTTTGCTTGCTGGACTGGTGTATGGCTGTTCCCCTGAGTCTGCTGCTAGAACCCATCACCAAGTCGTCTTTGGAGCCCCACTCACCCAGCAAGGCCCCGCTCCTGGACTACATCTACAGGGTGAGCGTTTAAATCCGAAAGTTTCCACTTAAAAATAAACAAAACAAACAAACATATATACATATAATTTTTTTAGCGTGTTCTGGAAGATTCATAACCTTCATTCACGGAGACAGCAGTCTTAACTATACTCCCTCCACCAGCACAATGCCACATGGGATTGTAGCTTTAATTAGACTCACCTCCACCATGACCTCATAACCATGCCTCATTTAACATTATGGTGGAATAACCATATAGAAGCATCCATCGTAGCTGTCACCAATGATTGGTATTTGTCATATGCAGAAAACCTTTACAAGTCCACTCTAACCTTTATTTGATTGCTTAAAACATGCAAAATATTCAACATTTAATCTACATATCCGTTTTTATTCCTCTAACTTTTTTTTTAATTTATGGTCTGACCCTGAGGATGAGGGCCAGGCTTTAGGCACAAATGAATGAGGTATTATTCATTCCCTCCTGTCTGGGCAGATGCGGTCAACGGCAGATCTTTGTAAGGATGTCACCCCTGATAAGAAATGGTCCAATTATTCAAACAGGACCTTTTGTCCAATTGATAAGCTCAGGCTCTAAACGCTTGTCCTGGAGATTTGAATGGAATATGTCTTAATATGAGAGAGACTGCAGCTGCTATGAAAGCAAATACAATTAGGCATGATTGGTCGTCCATCGGCACACAAAAGTCGCGGTCCCTCTGGGTTTCCATCTGAGGTGTGACAATATTAGTGCAATATCAGGACCAAAATCTCTTTACATTTCTATGGGCTCGTTGGCTTCTAATTATTCTGTTTACCAAGCAGAGAATTACCTCGCTAATAGGAAACAACTTCTTTTCTTCCCTTATTTGCTTGTGTCAGTAACAGGGAGTGTTATGCCTCCTGTAATTACCAGTTTATATATTTTTCAAAACGCAGCTTAAAAAGACACTGCTGGGGGGGAAGAAAAAGGGGCAAAAGAAGTTGATTTTGGTGGATGCTCACAGCTTTAAAATGCAACATTGCTCCAGACCTCGGTGGTTCATTGGAGTTGTGCTCAAGCTTCTCCATCTGCTCTCTCTCTCCCTGCCTCAGCAGCCAGCTGCACCACCCTCTGTGTGTGTGTCTGCGTGTGTGTGCGTATGTGTGTGCATAAGGAGGAAGACGGCAAGAATATCATATCTGCATTTTTGTTTACATACATCTGTCCCCTTGTTATTTGATGTGTCTGTATGTACACAGTGTACTCGCATCTCTGCGCAATATGCGCCCCTCTAACTGAGCTATGCTTGTTTATTCTGTGTTACCTTCCAGGAACTGTTGCTATGTGAGGTGCACTCACTTACTTGTCAGGCACAGCCGTGCCCCCCTCCCTCTTTTTTTTTTTTTTTACCTCTCCACTGAGGAAGCTCTTTGGGGCTTTGGTGTAGCAGCTGTTTGGTTCAGGTCTTTTCAGCATCAAGCCGCCAATCCCTCCCCCATGCACTCAGCTTGGTAGAAGCATCCACATACTGTCTACATTGCCCTACACAATACTGTTTCACATGGCAGGGCCAGACTGCCTCTCCAAGCGTCTCTCAGCCAAGTGTACTGAATGGGATTAGCTTTTTTTTTTTTTTTTTTTTTTTTTTTTGCATGGCTTTACTCAAGTTGCTCCAGTCTGAATAAGAGGCGCCCTCATCTACATACATTTAGCATACGTTTTGCACCGTCTGATAATTTTTTATCTACCTATCAGCAAATTTTGCTCTATACAGGTGTTTGTGTGTGTATGTTTGTGGTGAGAGCAGAGCGCAGGGATAATGTCTTAATTAAATCAAACAGTGTAAACCTGTCCAATGGCTGTAATCAACTGCCCCAGTGCGCCTTATCTAGTGTTGCCAACGGATGCTCTGCCATCTGTTATGTAGATCGATACACTCACACATCAGAGGAGAAATGGATTAGTGGCAATAAAGACCCTCTTTTCTTCACTCCCCCCTCCCCCACTCCTCAACTCGGCCTCGCCTTATGATGTAAATAGACCGTATATTACCCCCTTTGCACACTCCAGGATCTTGTCCGTCTCAAACAGGTCTGCAGGAGCATCTCTGCGCAATGTCGTGCCAGGCACAAAGAGATCTTATCTTTACGCATTAGTGTTGAGTTTAAGTCTTCAAAGTGCAGCGTGCTCTCACGTCACAGAAAAACAACACAAGCACACTTCGTCTGGACATGATCAACCTGCTTTTTTTATTTTTTCCTTCTCTCTCTTCCATCAATTAGGTGCTTCACTGCTGTGTGTCCGGCTCCAACCTGCACACCCAGCAGAGCCACTACCTGCTCAGTCTGTCGGACTTATCCAATGAATACGACCTGATGTTGGGTCAGGTGAAGAGCTTCGAGCCTCCACCCTCCCAAATGACCACAGCAGACTTTGGCAACCTGTTGACAGTAGCTGAGGGTAAGGGTGCAACAATATGGACCAGTGTGATGTTTCCCACAGTAACATTGAGTAAACATCCTACAGTTTCAGAGCATTAACGCAAAAGTACAAAACAGAACTGCACAAAATGATTAAATGGGTTTTATTTAAAACAGAAGAGCAATAACTTTTCATACTTCTACTGAAATAACTTGATCAAAGAATAAAAGATGACAATAATGATAAAAGTAAGCTATCAGCTTAAGTACCTATAGATGATATATGAGGCCTGTCAAGAAGTATTTGGGGCCACTTTTAGTTACACATTTTACAAGATGGAGAAGTGATTGCAATTAGTAGTGTAAATTATGTTATCTGTTGTTTATTGTACATATTGCAAATGGGTTTTGTACATCACTATGTTGCTAGTTGAGAAAGTGTAATTTTCTTAATGTTAATTTAATCCATAATGTCCCACAATTGTTGATTTGACATTTCTTTTATATAAAACTCATTAGATATTAATACTTTATTTCTCTTCTAGTTTTTCTTAAAACAAAAGCCATTTCACACTAGATTGTTGATTTGAAACTGTGTTGAAATAATGATCACTTAATACAAAGTTGATTTTTAGGGGGTTTTTTGTCCATATTGGCCAATTTATTTATTTTTTTTAATGTATTTCAGTTCATGGAGTAATTAAAATAAATGTTGAAATTAGCTGAATACAGCACGGTAAACTTTCATCGTATTACTAGCTAATATTAGCTTGTTAATTGGATAGCCTGTCTGCTTGGGTAGTTAGCCTGCAACCTTACAGCAAGAAAGTTTTGTGTTCAAGTTTGCATGTTCTTCCTGTGCATGGTGGAGTTCTGTCTGGATGCTCTGGCTTCTTCCCATAGTTCAAAAACATGACTGTTGGGATAATTGGTCTCTAAATTATAGGTGTAAGTGTGTGTCTGTGTGCACATGATTGTTTGTCCTCCGTGTCTCTGTGATGGACTTGCGACTTCTCCAGGGTGCATCCCGCCTATCACACAATGTTCGACAGGCACCAGCTCCCCTGCGACTCTGCACAGGACAAGAGCGTATAGACAATGGATGTGTTTCTTTTTGTATTTGAGAAAGGGCGGCAATCGTTTGCTTCATCATTTGTACTTCTGCCTTGTTTCTAGTGGATATTGTGCTGTAGCAAAACTACAAGCCTCATTATGCAGGCATGGTGCTCTGTGGAAAGGATTTGATCCCATTCAGTCTTCCCCAGACTCCATTTCAAAAAAAGCTTTGACAATGACGAGCACAATCTGTGGAATGAAACATTAAGTTCAATATAATGCAACATAAAAGTTATTGTTCCTTCAAATACAAAAGTCATCAGGCTAAGTATGCATTTTTTTTAATACATCTAAGTTTAAATTTAAGTCATAAATTGATAAAAATTGATGATTCCTTGCTCTTAGTCTGCAAAGCATATCTTTAAAATGGGCTCTAATTAATGAGAGGTGATAGGACCATGGTTGTCCATGTTTTTGACATGAAAAGAAGAGGGGGGAAGGAACGGCTCAGCAATACTTTATCCTCCATAGAATTGGAGAAAACTCTGGTCATGTTTACATTAATTCGCAAACGGTAAATGTTAGTTAGTGCAAAGGCATGTGTTGGTATGTAAAAACAGAAGCATGGGAGAGAGAAAACCGGCATTTAGTCGTTCCTGTCTGTAGCAAATTAGGACGATGCCTGCCCTCTCTACTACAACATTTCCCTTGGGAAAAAAAAAAAGAACCAAAAATGGTTACAGGTAAAAGCAAACTCTAAGTAGTCCATCCATTTGGAGCCTCTCCATTAGATGTCAATATCTTATTAAAAGTATGAAAAGAAAATCAGCCATCAGAGGGAATGGAATTTTTGCATTAGTGCCGAGCCGTAAAGAGAAGACCCATTATGGGGTTTAGATAAAATTGTTGATTTTTTTTTTCTCTTTTTTTTTTCCCTTTTTATGACCTTGTGATTCCATTAGCCAACGTAGTTCTCTCCCTACCTCGTGTCCTCAACTTCTAAAAGTCATCAAAGCCCAGATACAGAGTGCCAATGTGAACTGAAACAATGTAAAATAAATATTCTAGAAATAAAAAGCTTTTGTCTGTAAAATTTCGCCACACGTCTGCGTTTTGGTGCACTGCAGCACAGAGTCTTGGTAGAAATAACAAAACACTATCAAAAGGGCAAACCAAAGAGTGCCGGCCGGCCTAGTTATATTCATGCCCTCACCTCATATTGATCAAGTCACATCAAAGGGCCAGCACATCTCTAATGCAGCTTGGCCTGCTCTCTAAAGAGCTTTCTCCACTTTGATGAGGGATGATGGTATTGATAGCACTGTCACAATGCAAAAGTACATCTTCTTGTTTTTTCCCCCACATCACTGCAGAATAAAGCGCTGCATGCCTTTCACTTGGGGAGCAAAAAACCCTGCGTATTTGCATAAATGCAATCCACAGAGCAGAGTTCTATTCAGCGGCCTGTAAAGATGCTCGTTCTCATTAGCACCTGGCTGGTCTCAATGCTCATCTATTGTAGGAAGACTCAATGGGCTTTACAGACTTGTCTCTTATGATTAGATTCTACCTACTTAGAGGTGTGCTGGCCAAGCTATTGTGAGAAATAAATAAAACACCACCTTTTAGTGATCATAAATGAGATTTGGCTTTGTGTAAAAGGAGCTAATAGAGATGATGGCATGTCTGCACACAAATGTTGCGCTTTTTCAATTCTGCATTGAATATGATATGTTATAAAGCAGCCAGTGTTCGATTAGAGTTCTCTAATGTGTTTTTCCTTCAGCTAATATCTCAGTATTTTAATCCTTTTTTGTTTTGTTTTGTTTTTTTGTTTTTTTCTCCTGTCAGAGAAGCGCCGTCGAAACATGGAGCTCATCCCTTTGACGGCGCGGATGGTCATGACTCATCTGGTGAACCATCTTGGCCACCATCCCCTCAGCGGTGGCCCGGCTCTCCTTCACAGCCTTGTGAGCGAAAACCACGACAATCCGTATGTGGAGTCGTCCGAGCTGTCCTCTGAGGTCTTTAAAAGCCCCAACCTGCAGCTGTTCGTCTTCAACGACAGCACGCTGGTGTCCTACCTTCAGATCCCAGCCGAGGCGCCCGCCGCAGGTCAACCTCCGCACCCTTCCTCCCAAGTTCGCATCATCGTCCGAGACATTTCAGGAAAGTACTCTTGGGATGGAACGATTCTGTACTGCACTGCGCAGGAGGACCCTGATGTGGGTGCTTTCCATCCAGCTGACCCGCCTCTTTCAAAAACCTCCAATACACACGGCAGAAACCAGCCAACCTCTCCGCTGAAAGGACATTACAAAACTCACTGCTCCGTCTCAGACTCCCTCTCTAACTTCTGCGAAGAGGACGAGGTCGATGTGCTGGATAAGCTTTTGGAGGACCTTAGCCACAGCAGCCCAGAATGCCTCCCTCAGCCACGGCTCCAGCTCAATCAGCCAGCCCCGTCACCTCATGGCATGAACCTGGAACAAGAGAACACTATACTGGAGGCCATTCTCCGTCAGACTCAGCAGGAGGAGGAGCAAGTCAGGAAGTGGGATGCCGATGTGAGCTTTCGGGCTGCCTGCCAGAGGGAACCCTCCCACCAGGAACCAAAAGCTCCTTTCTATTTCTGCAGACTGCTTCTTAATGATCTGGGCATGAACTCATGGGATCGCAGGTATTATCAAATGAAACGGGCTACAGTTATATGTAGAGATGTGCCAATGAATCAGACAGAGATCAATTAATCAGACAAACTGTTTTTCTGTAGGGACAGTTTGATTAGGATTTGGATAATTGGGAGTTTTTAGAACTAATGTCCTAAACTTTATTTAAAATTATGCTGGCTGAGGCGCTGTCGGGTGCTGAAGTTATGTTTGCACATCGTCCCTCAGGGTTTCTCAGTGAGAATATGTTTGCTTCAGTTGTTTTAATGGCTTCTTCTCCTACTTATGCACCCCTCTTTTACACACTGAATGATGTTATAGTTATGTTTTTGTAAAGATGTTTCCAAAGGATTCACTTGTGAAGCACAGCTGTAGTAACTCAGCTGTTGGCTTGTTAGTTAAAGAGAGAGTAAAACTAAAGCCATATTGGAGTCTGCTGGGTCTTAATCTCCTCTCCGCAGGGTAAAGGTGCCCAGCTGTTTTCATCAGCGTCTACAAAGCCACATCTTTCTAGTGCTGCCCCGTAAATTAAAAGCTTACACCTCTTAATAGTGATGGTGCAACAGGCACACAGCAAATAGGAGATTGTATTTTGCACCTGTGCCTTTTTCTTTTCTTTTTTTTTTTCTTTTTTTTTGGTTTGATAACTAAATCAGCACCTGAACTTTCTCCTGAAAGCTATTTGCATACAGTCAGTGCCTGTTGGTTGTTGGTAACTTGATAGATAGATGAATTGTGATTTTTCTCTGTATTAAAAAAAACTCACCTGAATCTTTTTTTTTTTAATTATTTTCAAAAAGAAAAAGCTTCCACTTGCTGAAGAAAAACTCTAAACTTCTAAGAGAGCTGAAGAACTTGGACTCCAGGCAGTGGTAAGTTGTTTTTTATTCGCTGTCTACAGCAGAAATTAGATTAAATTACGCTAGGTTTTGCTTGAGATACCAGTGAAAACAATTGTCTGTAATTTAGTGCCTTTTTTTTCTATCTTCAAACTACCGCTGCAGCTTTCTGCCATACCTGTTTTAGCCTGAGTGAAAGCAGCAATATATTGCCCCCCTGTTTGTAACACCATTATCTTCCTCATGCAAGCCCCAACTAACCACAACTCTGAAAATCTCTTACCATCTCTCTTGTACCTCTTCTCCCAATCAATACAAACTTCCCACACTACCGATGACAAGAGTGTATTGAAGAAAATCCACAGAATTGAAGCTTATTTTCGCCGATGTACCAGATTGTTAGGACAATAACAGTTTGTGCACAAGCATGCAAAGTGCCCCAAAACCTAGCGTAGAGCAATGCACTGCCATGGCAACAGGGGAAATGGACGGGCAGAGTTTGCTGCAGTTCTTTCAAAAATCAAGTGAAAAGAGGAGAAATTTTGTAGAAATTTGGCAAATGTTCTTTATTTTTTCTTTTTTTTCTTTTTGAGTTTTACTTAGTTTATCAATTTGACTACGGGATATTTTCTGACCTCTAATTTTCTCTACTTTTTATGCTGTTCTGTAGCCGAGAGACGCACAAAATTGCTGTGTTCTACATCAGAGAAGGCCAGGAAGACAAGTGCTCCATCTTGTCGAACTACGCAGGCAGTCAGTCCTATGAAGACTTTGTATCTGGACTGGGATGGGAGGTGGGAACACCTACAGCTTTTTTTTTACTTTTTTTTTTTTACAGTGAATTGTCTATACTCCAATTTGTTTGAAGCTTTGATTTTTCCTAAAATGTAACGGTGAAAAGGATTTTTCTGAAGCCTTCCTGACATGAGTGGTTATTAAGAGGCGACTTAACAATTATGGAGCTTAGTATCTGCTATTAGCAATTAGATCTGGCAGAATTTTTAAAAGAGGATGTTGTATGTCGAACAGCAAAGGGAAACCGCAGGGAATTAAACAAAGCAACTTTAGGCAGATTCCCAAAATGGGTTCCTGAGTGCTTTCTTCATAAGAGGTGAACTTTGCAGTACCTTTTTATTTATGTAAGCATTTTCTTGTCATTGTGGTAAATCTAAACAGAGCAGTTCATGTCAGATATTTCCCAATTTGCCGGTCAATGCTGTATGCAGGAAACATAGAAAATGAAAAAAAAACAAACTAATAATATAATAAAAACAAGTACAGCTCTCTGCCGACTGCACAAGGTGATTAAAGGCAGTGAGCTCAAATTAACAGCATTATTCTTAAATTGTTTCATAAGAGAAAACGACTGCCTTGGGTATGTGACTTCAAATGTTCTCCTAGCTGGGGGCTTTAATTAATGGTTTAATTGTGGGTCGTAATCTCAGGTAATGAAATGAAGAAGCACACTATTGAAGGTGCTCTGAAAAATGTTTGATGAAAATTACCATGTTGGTTAATGTCTTGCTCAACACGTTTATACAGAGACGTGATCTGTAGTTGGACGGTTCCTACCTGTTGGTAGGAGGAAGTGTGCATCCGTGAGTTTGCACAACGTTTCTGAACCGACCCATTTTCACGAGAAGTGTAACGTTTTTATTGTCCTTTAAAACTTTCTTGAGTTACTTAGAAACCTTAAAGACCTTACGTTAACATTAAAATTTCACCACAGAAAATATTTTTCTGAGATAAAAAAAAAAAAACTGTATAGATACATTTCAGCTTAACTTTATGCCTTTTGACTCCAGTCACCTGAAGAGAGTTGCTGTCAGCTTCAACCGGCAGCAGTCAGAATGGCGCGTTTGCTGGTTGGAGAAAGATCAGATATTTAAGTTTCCAATCAGTGCTGATCAGACTGAAAACCATCTGATTCTCGTCACCAGCCCTTTCTCACTACATCTCTGCTGAACCTAAATGAACATCTCCAGACTACAGTAAATGATACACTCAGCTGTATTCCTCAGGTGGACCTGGCCACACACTGCGGTTTTATGGGAGGACTCCAAAGGAATGGCAGCACAGGTCTAACAGCTCCCTATTACGCTACCTCCACTGTAGAAGTCATATTCCATGTATCCACGAGGATGCCATCTGATTCTGATGACTGTCTCACCAAAAAGGTAAAAATAAAATCTTGTTAGCTCATCTAACACCCTGTAGAAATGTGGACTATCATCTTCTTTAAAGGTTTTACATACCTGAGTGCATAAAGACACTTGTGTAAAGCTTCTTTATACATTAGATGCGGTGAAATGGCTCCACAGTCATGCCTGCCCAGAGCCGTGTGTTGTGTAGCCTCCACTTCTGTGTTAAGCTGTGATCAGGAGGTGTGACTCCAAAGTACGGGCATTGATTAGTGACCCTGGTCAGGAAGGCCTGAGGAGTAGAGAATCGCAGGCGCGTGAGTGAAGAGAGGGCATGTGCCGCTGTGGTAATGACTATGATTCTGCCAGCCCCTGCCCCCCTCCCTGCGCGCTGTGACCAGGGCCTGGATTCAGCCATTAGCTCTCCCTGCTAGGGCAGGCGCCGGCCGGATGCCGGCAGGATCCTTTTATCCAATTCCTGCTGCCGCCACAGGAGCAATCGATAGGGTTCTGCTGTGGGATTCTAAGCTCTAGTGCAGCGGTAGCAGTTAGCACGGAGAAATGAGCCGCAAGGCCCCTGCCCGCACTGCCAATCTTCTCATACAGTACCCTGCTGGGAAGGGAAATTCATCAGGCTCTCCTCATATCCAACCACAATCCCACTCTCAGGCTTTCTCCCTCTTGTGTTTTTTTTTTTTTTTTTTTTTTTTTTTTTTAAATGGTACACTACTCATTCCAAACATACGCTGAAGTTTCTCGTATGGCCACTGAAAATTAGTGTAGAGTTTGAAGGAAGAGTTTCTCCTGTCCTCACCAAAGTGAGGCGCTGGAGGGTGATGCTATCCCATCACCATACATTTCACCAGAAACTTCTGTAATTGCTCTGGCTCACCTTGCTCAGATCCCCACACCAACCACAAGTCTGACAAAAAAAAATTGGCAGACTGGCTGTTGGTGCAAATGCTTTAAAAAAAAAAAAAAAGATAGGAGGGAGAAGAAGAATTGGAATGAGAAACAGGCTTTGTCTCTGTCCAAGTAGGATGTTTCTCTGTCAATTTAAAAATAACACTTAGTCCAGCAGTCACCCACTTTACTGGCTGTAACCATAGAAGCATACCGTGGGGAGATACGGATGGGGTAGCTCTGGCTGAGCAGATTTGTCTTTTTGAAGATGATAGAAGGGGGGCAGACAATCCTGAAAAGGAAAAGAAAAAAAAAAAAGAGAACCACAAATTCCTGAATCCAATTGTGGGTTTTAGTGCAGTGCAGGCTGCAGCAGTAGCAGCTGGCTTCAGTAATGGGGTTATTGAAACGACCTGCAGGGTTGGGGTCAGGCCATGTAGTTCTTATGTGCATGTGTGTGAAAGGGAGCGAGATAGACGGGTGCCTTAGCTATCACACTCACCCCCCCCCCAGGCACTACAGCTTAACTAGGCTGCTGCAGGTTGTTTTTATAAGGAGCCTCTTTTGTTCTGGAGTCCTCTGGTTTTCTGTTTCCATGTGTGTGAAGCCCAGTGGTTGGATGGGAGGTCAAAGAGGGATAATTGGACAAGAGCCTTTGACTCGAATCACATTTTATTAAAGAAGTCTCAAACATTTGGATGTGATTAACAGAGGGGTAAATAGATTTGTGCAGAAGATGATTTACTAGAGCATAAGCATCCTCATTAAACTTGTCATTCAGCTCATCCAAATGCTAATATCTTAACCCAAATTAACATCCCAGTGTTAATTGTCTCCTGCAAATGCATATTCAACATTTTCTCTGAAATTGTCCCAGTGACTGACCCGGCTGGTACCTGCTGATCCTTGGACAGACAGACTGAACTGCCGAGCTTCAGTAATCAGCATGCCGTGGATTTGTTTAAGATTACCGTATTACCATAATTAAGGGCTTATAATAGAATGTGCTAATTGCATTTTTTGTTGGCAAGGGCATGTTTCTTAATGGCTCATTAGGCCAACAGTACATTGGCAGATGTTTTCTTCTGAGTGGAGGCTCACTTCTCAGTGTCCTCGATAGAAATCGGAAGGGGGGAATCGGAAAGGGTGCTTGGTCACAGGACTAGCAGCTGACGCATTAAACTTTTTCACATTTTAACATCATAACATCATTGTATTTCGTCGGAATTTTGTTTAAGATAGACCAATACTAAGAAGTGCTGTCAAGTGAAAGGAACCGAATATGTGATTTTCACATTTTTATCCATGGAAGACCGAAGTTGAAACTCTGTAGGCTCTAAAAGGTTCTCTTTGAGTATTTCTCTGTGAGAGGCTCAACTGTGACAAAATCCATTTTTACCAGTTAGAGAGCATTCCCATGGCATGATACGACCACCACCATGTTCGACAATGGAGTTTGAAAGATTGGGTTATTATTGTGCGCTCCTCCAGAGTTACATGGGCCTCTTAACTTTTTCTCTGGCCAGAGCTCTTCTTGCCCAGATGCAGGTTAGGTAGACTGTCAGGTATACATTTGTGTTATTTTTGGCTAATGCCCTTTGAGATGCTCAGAGCTTTGAGTAGTGTTTTATAACTTAACCCAGTGTTCAACTTCTCCACAATTTTCTCTGAAATGAAATGACACTCAAGTGGATTTGATGTGAGGAACGTTGGTTCCATTTGATTGTTTTTTTTTTTTTTTAGAAGTATTGGAGTAAAGGGTCCATTGTTTAATTTGTTAAAAATTTCCTAAACCTTGTATTATTTTCCTTTCACTTCAAATGTATGCACTGTTTTATGTGGACCTGTAACATGAAATCCAGATAAAGATTTTGACATTTGCGATTGTAATGTGACAAAACATGTAATAATTCAAGGGGTGGGAATACTGTGTGCCATAGTTAATATTAACCTGTAAGAGAAGATAATGCGACTTTGTTCACCTGTTTGCCTTCAGAATAAGGGGGGGGGGGCTGTTTACCTTTTATAAACTACTGTCAACCTATTTCCTGTCATTTAAGAGCGTCTTCTTGTCCTGCCCAGTTTCATTTGTGTTTATGAATAGAGTGGAAATGGGAAGCAATTTAAGCTCTGATGGGGAAGGTTAATTGGATTTGAATTACTTTGGTTTTAAAAAGTGCAATTTTGTCTATTTTGTGTTTGCTATTTGAATTTGTAATGAAAAATCTATAAAAAGAGGCAAATCCAGGACCTCAACCCCCAGTGTTAACCATTATTTATTTTTTTTTAACAAACTTTGTGATTTTTCTTACACCTGCTGATTGCAGTGATAAAAGATGGTTTCACTTTTTTGGGGGGGTACCTTTCAAGTAAATATTCTTTATTATCTCTTATCGCCTTGTTTTTTTTTTTTGTTTGTTTTTCCCTCAGCTCTAGTTTTCTCTCCTGGTCTCTAGAGGTAATACAAGACGGACTAGCAAAACAGTCTTTTGCAATAATCCGCCTAAATTTGTCGTCTTTCCTTCATCACCGTAACAGTGGAAATAACATGCACTACCAAGGCTCTTGATTAGAATGATTTTTGTGTTTATTTGGCAGCTGCGTCACTTGGGCAACGATGAGGTGCACATCGTGTGGTCCGAGCACACCAGGGACTACCGTTGTGGCATCATCCCAACTGACTTTGGAGACGTGCTCATTATCATCTACCCAATGAAGAATCACATGTATTTCATCCAGGTCATTAAGAAGCCTCAGGTAAATATTTATAGACATTGTAACGTAATTGTAAATCTTTTTTTTTTTTTTTTCTCCTGTGGTAGAGCTTTTTAATCGTCACTTTAAGGCAGCGGAGTCGAGGGCTCAGGTCTGGTGACCGTGCATCGTTGGTCCAAATTACATCCTCAGCATTCGTTCAAGCTCCACAAAGTCGTGCTAATTATACAATTATTTGATTCAGGTGTGCTGAGATGGAGACGCATCTGAAAGTTGCAGAACACGGCACTTTAGTGAGTGGTGGTCCTGTCATGCTGTGAGTGGAGTTTGAAACCAGTGTTACAGAGAGCAGTTTAAGGACGGCATCATGTTAAACTGCAGGATTCAATTTTTATCAGAGTAAATTTAAATTCAGTCAAATAATCACACTTTAAGAGAGAATTGCTTTTAATAGAATCAATACAACCATAGACCCTCTGTCTGGCTGTAATTGGTTGTTTTTGACTGGGAGTGGGGTAGGAGAAGAACCACAGGGGAGGAAACTCGATTTTTTTTGTATTTATTTATTTATTTTTGGACTGTCTCATATTATAATAAAAAGGACATAGTGACAGTGCAAATATGAATAAAAACATTTATAAAAGTCACTTACTGCAGCTTTGAGTTACAATCCTCGTTTAATTTATGTTGAGACTTTTTACCTGTCTATACCAATAAAATGTTTAGTACAGTGATCCCTCGTTTTTCGCGGGGGTTGCGTTACGAAAATAACCCGCGATAAGTGAAATCCGCGAAGTAGTTACCTTTAGTTTTTACAATTATTACA